AGCACCTTTTGAGGACCCCTCGATGTGTGTGATTCTGAGATGTCTAAGTCCTCTACCACAGGCTGGATGAGCTAGTCAAGGACTTTATGTAAGAGATACTCCTTCTGTAGGGACAGTGGGAGAACAGAAAATATCAGAGAATCACAGAATTGTCAGGGTTGGAAGGGCCCTCTAGAGATCATCCACTCCAACTCTCCCAGTAAAGCAGGACCCCCCAGAGCACATTCCTCAGGACTGCATCCAGGTGGGTCTTGAGTATCTCCAGAGAAGGAGACTCCACAACCTCCCAGGGCAGCCTGTCCCAGGGCTCTGTCACCTTCACTTTAAATAAGTTTTTTCTCATATTTAAATGGAACTTTCTATGTTTCAGCTTGTGCACCTTGCCCCTTGTCCTGTCACTGGGAACTACTGGAAAGAGTCTGTATCCTATTGTACCACAAATGGCCAGGGCCACGTGTATCTCAGGGCTTTAGCAGATAGTTCTTCTAGGTAGTTACCTTGCTACTGAAAGTGCAATTATGGTCATTTTAATACTTGGGCCACAAAGTGGATTGAACTCCCAATGGTGTGCCAGCCCTTCTGGAATGATAGAATATTGTCCCACATATTTTCTTTTCAATTGTTTCTCTCTGCAGGAGCATCCCTGATTCCAGGAGATGAAGGTCAATGTAAGCAGGAAGGAGGATTCTGCAGTTTTTTGACATGCTATCACCCTCATCACATCTTTGGAAGGTGTTCAACATTTATGGTTTGCTGCAAAAGGTGAGTTCTAAAGTCAAACATTCAGGAATTTGCCTTCTGCTTTCTTGGCCAAGATAGATCTGCTGTCCTTGTTACTTCCACCCTTCTGGAGAACATCCTCCTGCATTCATGGTGAGAGGCAGAGGCTGGGGAAGGAGGGTTGAAGTCCCTTGATAAAGCTGATTGAACCAGCCCTGTATGGGGAAAGCCCAAATTCAGCCAGCATCTTCCCAGTCCCCTTCAGCCCCATGAGGCCAGACTGGGCTTTCACAAAGAACAGAAGAAATTAATTTGGTGACCATATACTGTGCTTTGTTTATGCAGGAAATGATGATGCATCCCTGGTCTTCCCAAGCAGGACATCTCCCTTCCTTCTGGCTCCTGGAGCCAGCTCCTCACATCCTGTCCCCTCCCTGCCTCTGCTCTCCCCAGGTGTGGTGGTGGTGGGAGTGGAAGTGCTGCTCCTGTGGAGTGTTCCTGGACTGGAGATACCCTGTGACAGCTCTGGTGTCCCTTGGGCAGAGGCTGCTTTTTCTAGTTTCAATAAAAACAGGTAGTTTTGCGTGATCACTGAGTCACATGCTGATTGAGGCTGGAAGGGGCTTATGGAGACCATCTGGTATGATCCCCCTGCTAGTGTTGGCCACCCAGAGCTGGTTGCTGAGGACTGTATCTAGATGGCTTCTAAGTATCTCCAAGGATTGGGACTCCACAACCTCCCTGAACAACCTGTGCAAGTGCTTGGTCACCCTCAAAGTTGAAAAGTGTTTCCTGCTGTTCCAAAAGAACTTCCTGTGTTTCACTGTGTGCCCATGGCTTCTGGTCCTGGAAATGGGCACCACTGAAAATATCCTGGCTCTGTCCTCTTTGCACCCTCCCTTCAGGTATTTGATGAAATTGCCTCAGAGCCTTCTCTCCTCCAGGCTGAGCAGTCCCAGCTGTCTCAGCCTTTCCTCATAGGAGAGATGCTTGAGTCCCTTCGTCATCTTGGGAGCCCCTTGTTGGACTAGTCCTTGTATCTCTTGGACTGGTGAGCCCAGAACTGGACACAGAACTCCAAGTTGGGCCTTACAAGCATTGAATAGAGGGGAAAGATCATGTCCCTCAACCTGCTGGCAATACTTGATCTTAGATAACCATAAGGCTTCTATGCATTCTCTTTGCTTTTCTCTTAGCATTGTCCCAAAGACAGCAGGTTACAACATACACCAAAGAGAAAAAATATGAAATAAAAACTCAGAGGCATTTTTTAAAATCTGCCCAATCAGTTTGGAACTGCTTTTTCAGGGTGGGCATAAGATAGATGCTGTAAATGCACTGAGAAGAGCCCTGAAGCATGAGATTTTGCCTGAATCATAGACTCACAGAATGGTTCGGATTGCACAGGACCTTGAAGATCATCTAGTTCCAATTCCCCTGTCATGGGGCATGTGGCAATAGAATAAGAGGTAGTGGCTTTAAACTGAAAGAGGGGAGACTGAGATGAGATTTTAGGAAGAAATTCTTTGCTGTGAGGGTGGTGAGACACTGGCCCAGGTTGCCCAGAGCAGCTGTGGCTGCCCCATCCCTGGAAGTGTTGAAGGCCAGGTTGGATGGGGCTTGGAGCAATCTGGTCTGTGGGGGACGTGTGCCTGCCCATGGCAGGGGGGTTAGGACTAAATGATTTTTAAGGTCCCTTCCAACCCAAATTGTTCTGTGATTCTGTGATATAAATGCTGAGATTTTGGCAGGAAAATGAAACTCTTTTCCAAAGAACTTTTCAGAAATGTGGGCATCCACACAGAGAGCTGAAGAGAGTGTGACATACAGCTACGGGAGTGTGAGGGGAGATGATAAGGAGAGAACAATATAAGATTTTCTCCATCTGTTATCTTTTATGCCTCTTCTCAGAAGGATGGGTGGGGGGAAAAGGCAAAACTTACATCAGCTGCTGTGAAATTTCAGGACAAAGAACTTCTGGACAGAAAAGAAGTGGCAGAAAACGTTGTACTACACACACAAAAAAACGAAAACAAAATCCAAACACAAAACCAAACAGACACATAAACAAAACCCTCACAACAACAAACAAAAAAAACCCAACCAAACACACACACAAACACCACCCACCTCCTCTTCCCCCCCGCCCCAAAACCAAACCAAAAAAGCCAGCCAAAACCAAAATAGACCTACATCTTTTCTGGGATTCTCATGGGCATTTTCCAGAAGCCAGAACATTGGGTCTCACATGCTGACTTCTTAATGGATGGTGGGTGTCATTTTTTAGCTATTTCTCTTTCTCTTTCCCCAAGAAAAGATTTCTGAATAGTAAGAAAAAAGGTATTTTGGCATCTGAACACACACCCACAAAGGGAAGCTGAGCGTTTCCAGCCAGCCTATCCACTTGGTACCAGAGGGCAAAGTCTGCAGTCCATGTCTGTCTATCCCTGGACACTTTTTTCTTCTTCTGCTCCAGAAAAACTCAAGTTAAGAAGCAGTGGAAATGTAAATTGTTGCCCTCCAGGGTTTATGTGTCAAACCTCAGGCAGGATCATTGCTTTCAGCCCATACAACAAACATGTTTCAGTGATGTGAATGCTAAGCAACAATAATTTATTCAAAGAGAGGGAAGGCAATGCAGAATACATTTGGATTCGCTCTACATAAAGAAGCTTTTTGCGTTAAAAATGGGAAGTACATGAAGCTTTGTAGCAGGATCTGGTGGTCTTAGCAGAAAGAGGATTGAAAGCAAATTCCTGGGCTCAGAAGAAATTGTCATCACTCTTGAAAGGACCGTCTATTAATATCCCATGGTCTGCACAAAGGAAAAAAAACCAACAAGTTCAGATTCTTCTTCTGCTTGTATTTCCTTTCTACTTACTGTTAGTCTGTGCATATTTTACTCTTGGGTAAGAATACTTTCCAAAACTTCTAATGTCATGCATTATACTTTCAAAAATACCTGATGAACCTCGGGCCATGCACATGACCTGAGTATTGGAGCAGCTCTGCTCTGAAGACAGGCTGGGTTGGGGCTGTTCAGCCTGGAGAAGAGAAGTCTCCAGGGAGACCTGAGAGCACCTTCCAGGACCTGAAGGGGCTACAGGAAAGCTGGGGAGGGACTTTTGACAAAGGTATGGAGTGATGGGACATGGGGGAATGGTTTCAAACTGAAAGAGGGGAGATTTATATGAGATACTACAAAGAAATACTTTGCTGTGAGGGTGGTGAGACACTGGCCCAGGTTGCCCAGAGCAACTGTGGCTGCCCCATCCCTGGCAGGGTTGAAGGCCAGGTTGGATGGGGCTTAGAGCAACCTGGTCTGGTGGGAGGTGTCCCTGCCCTTGGCAGGGGGGTTGGAACTAGAGGATTTTTAATGTCCCTTCCAACCCAAGCCTGTCCATGATTCCATGTATAGTCATGCTGGGACAGCCCTGTGCTGTCATATCTGTGAGTAAGAAGAGTGTTTTCCTATTGCTTCATGAAAAGTAAGCAATTAAATTCATATCCCTTGATAGTGTGGTGAATGCCTTCATTCCTGAGTGAAAATAGAGGGCTACTTTTCAAATTATAATGCCTTTTAGCACACTCTTGCACTTCCTGCACACTTTTGATGTCACTCAGTGTTCTGTGTTCACCCTACATTGTAACTTAATTCTCCACTGTTCCCCATACAGCACAGCAGCCCAGTTCTGCAGGTACCAAACCCTGATATATTGTTCTGGCATAAGATCTGTAAAGGAGCCCAACAGAGCTGGGGCAGCCCAATGAAGACATCTTCAGCCCCACTTCATCCTTTTTGCTGGGTCTGATCATACTCTCTTCTCTCAAGTAACAAGCAAGGACAGGTGGAAATGGCCTCAAGTTGTGCCAGGAGATGTTTAGTTTGGATGTTCAGATAAAAGGGTTGTCAGGCATTGGAACAGGCTGCCCAGGGAAGTGGTGGAGTCACCATCCCTGAAGGGATTTAAAGGATGTGCAGATGTGGTGCTGAGGGACATGCTTTAATAGTGGACTTAACAGTGCTGAGTTAACAGCTGGACTTGACCTTAAAGGCCTTTTCCAGCCAAAGTGACTCTATGATTCTCTGTCTACAGTGCACATGTCAGCAGAAAGAGCCCTGTGGAGCTCAGCTGCTTCAACTCTTGACTGTCCTCATGGCACAATAGGTATTTTTCCTTACATCCAGTCTGAACACTCCATAGCACCCTGGGGTTAAGGGCACAGAGGAAACAGGTTTGTTCCCTGACACTGCAGATGAGCCTTGGTGTGTGTCAAACTTACGATTTGCAGCAGGAGCCGAATCCAAAACAACTTCCAACTCTAACCAGATGGATGGGACATCTTCCAGAGTGACAGTTGCTCCTTTTACAGAAAAACATGTCCCGTCGGGGTGAAGATAAACCTGCAACAATAGTAAAATGTTTCCTTCCCCCTCATGCTGTAGGGCAGGGCAATGCAGTTATAACACCAGCAGGGTTTCGCATTTTTTGAGCCACCTTCACCACTAACTTACCTCAGGGAATTGCCCAGATTTGGCCATGTTAAAAGGCCATGTAAGAGTTGAGATTGCAAAGCAGGTCTACACCTTGAAGAGGTGGGATCCTTTGCTCATAGTGCATTAAAATGGGTGGCCTTGAAATCCAGGTGGAGAATGATACAGATCTCCTGACTCATTGTCCTTTACCTTCTGAAAAATGATCATGGAACCAAAGGCTTTAATACTGGCTCCTACCTGAAAGCAGTTGGCCACACTTCATTTTCACCTGCACATGCACTGCTGAGTGTGCTGTTATCCAAAGATCATGGCCACCACAAAGACCATCTCAGGTGTCTAACACCAGAGTGTTCACCTTGATCCTGGTTGATTGGATGAGGTGATCTCCAGAGGTCCCTTCCAACCTCTAACAGCCTGTGATCCTGTGATCTTTTTAGGAAGACACCAGGAATGCAAAATGACTTTTCTTCAGAAGTCATTGTTTCTCCACCTTTGAAACAGTTTTAACATAGGAGCACAGACACTGAACTAACTAACTTGTGCTCATTTTCTAGCAAACTTAACCACTAGAAGTTAAAATGTACTTGGAAATTCATTTGAGGTACACAGAAAATGGTAGCATCTCATTTCCATCTTACCTGGAGAAACCTGGAGTGCCAAGAAGAGAAGAGAAAAGAGCAGATATAGGATCTTCATGACTGTGGATTTTCTGTAGGGATTTTTTTTTGAAAACTGTATGAGAGACAGTCCCTGGGATCTACAGTCTTCTGAACTCTACACATACTATGTCAATAAAAATGGCATTTATATGGTCTTTTTTCCTCCAACTTCCAAAAAAATAACCACCCATATGACATCATGATTGCAGTGTGAACATTTCTGGGAGAAGTAAATATATCTGGGGCAATGTGCTTTCTGGATATGTGAACATGAGGCTATTTTAATAGTTTGATTGCTCAGATTTCTTTCGTATTTTGTTCATCATCCTCAGCCAAAATGCAATCATAACTTTAAGTGAAACATTTCTCTGAAAGACAACCAACACTAAGCAAAATGAGGTCATTATGCAGTCAAACTTATACATTTTAGAAAAAAAATGTTTGTGCTGTGAAGTTATAACTTATTAACAAATAATGGCTGAAATCAACTTTCTCGAAGTCTGTAGTCCTGTCTACAGGCAGTAGATCAAGAATGAAAATGTACCACCAAACCAGGTCCCATTTGACAAATGAAATTTGAAAAGCAATCATGTAATGTCTTTATGGAAAGAGTTAATAATGGAATTAATATCAACAAAATGAGATACAATAATAGCCTGGAGTAGGAAGTTATGGATAAAGAAGAAATAGTTGATGGCAGATATCTTGGCATTAGAGGGTCTTCTGAGCTGTCACAAAATTTTCTTAAGCAAGGCAGGGAAAGGAGGTTGTGCTGAAATGTCAAATGCAAATGGAATGGTAGAGGGTGGCCCAAAGCAGCTTTGAAATGAGTATTAGAAGTTTTACACAAATTTCTGTCTATTTGAAAATATCGGAAGAAACAAGTAGTCAAATTTAACAGTTCTGAAAATCAAACAGAGTCCTTAAGATAAAGACATAGAAAAAGAGATATATACTGGTTTCCATCAAAGACACCACCATTTTTTTCTGGATCACAGACCTCTCTAAAGTAACCAGGCCCAGCCAGATTTTTTTTTTCCCAGGATTTTAGAAGCAGAGAATTTTTATCAAAGTATTTCTAGGAATTAGCACATATCTGAAATCCTTATTCAACCTGTGCAACTTCTGAGAAGCTTCAATTAACCTTTTTTTAGTAATCTACAAATTCAGGTTAATAATGCAGAAGCTCTGAGGCAGGGGGCTGGAGGAAGAGACAACAGCAGACATTCAAAGAAAGACTGAAAATAACTGTGAAGTTACCAGGTAACAGATGACCCCAGAAGCCAAGCAAGCCCTGCTCTTGGTTCCTTCTGTCCAGAGGACTTTGGCTGTGGGGCTGAAACCCTGTTTTATTAGGTGTTTCTTAGGGGGAGTGGCAAATGCAGGTGCACATTGAGCCAATAAAAAAGCTCCTCTTATTTATTTAATTTTTGTGACTTCTAATCCAACCAGAATCATGATGCTTTTCTTCTCCCAGTAAAAAAGGAGGCTTCCTCTCTAAACCTGTTGAAGTTTTTTCTTCTGGAAAATGCCAGGCTACTCATGCAATACCTCTTGTGACACTCCAGTTTGTGTAAGATACATTAAGCCACCACAGTATGTGTCAAACATCTTGTGACATACGTTGAACAGTCCCCTGCTCAGGAGCAACATCATCCATTGCAATACAAAACATCTGCTTGCTCTTCTGCACTCCCAGTTAGTTAATTTTCTGGTCCATAAATACAGAATATAAGAACAGAGAACGAAAATATGAGACTAAAAGAAATGTCCATTTATGGACAATAAGGATGCCTAAGTAAAGAGCATGAGATGTACAGAAATAGAGTGAGTGCATAGTGGTTATTTCCCTGCACACACTTCCAGATGATGGAAAATACATCAGTTTAGGGAAATCAAGTACCAGAGGCTGCCTCTGGACCCTCAGGCCTCAGAGCTCCTGAATGAGCATTTTTCCATGACTTTTTCTGGTCTTCTTGTATTTCTGACCTCCACAGGACCTTCAGCTGATAACTCCACAAACATATTATGCCTTAGGAGAGCATTCATTTTTATTTTCTTATCTGCTCTCACTCTGCCAGTTGATCACCTCTGTTTTTTTCTGTCAAGGGAAACAGCAAATAAATATTCAATTTTCCCCTTGCTACATCACCACTGAGGCTGTGGTCTTTTCTTACACTACCCCTCACTTATTTCCCCACAATGAAAAGAAAGATTTTGTCAACCACATCTGTCAGATAAACCTTTGAATGGATCCAGCTCTTTCAGTGGAGCATTCCTGTTGTACATTTCTCTTTTCAGTTTTCTTATGTCCTTTGGGAATGGGCTGTCTAGAATTGCAGGCATTGTCCAAAATGCATTTTGGATTTGTACAGTGCCTAATCATATTTGTTCTTCTGCTTTCAGCTCCTTTCCCCCCTCAATTCCTAGCATTTTCCTTGCCTTTTTGTCCACAGGTCAACACTAACATTTCTAGAGTCCACAGTTCCATTAGTGCAGTTTTGAAGTAACTCCCTGATGTTCTCCTGCAACTTCATGCTGGCTCAGCTTGCTAAGAGCTTTTCATGAGTGCAAACTAGATTTCTTAGGAGGAAAGTGAACCAGAAGTTTTGCTTTTAAGGTTTTCCAAAGGTACTCCCAAGGTATCCCAAAGGTACTCCAGTGCCTAGTGGATAATAAACCAATGTGTGGGCTACACCACTTGAAGGTCCTGCAGAGTGTAAATAACCTTCCTTTCTTTTGGACACCTGGAGAGTTGGGAAAGGGGACATCAGCCATTCAAGGAGAGGCTGAAGGACCTGTCTTTGTTCACCTTGGAGCAGACATGACTAAGGGTAATTTAAATGCTGTGGTAATGCTAATGGTAGCTACAGAGAAGATGGAGCCACACACTTCTCAGAGCTGCACAGTGGAAGGATGAGGACTAAAAGACACAAATTGCAATGAGAGAAATTCCAGTGAGATAGAAGGAAAAAAAACCCTCTCACAGTGAGGGTTGTCAAACACTGGAATGGGGCCCCAATCTCAATTCCCATATAGATATTCAAACTCAACTGGAAAAATCTCTAAGCTGTCTGGTCTATCTCTGAAACTGGCTCTGTCTGGAGGGATGGATGGATCAGATAGTTTCCAAACACATATTCCAACTTAGATGATTTTGTAGTTTATTCAATAGCAAAATGCAAGTCAAACTGAATTAATAAATCCAGAAATTGTGCAGAGGAACCTCAGCACAGTCTCTAAGGTCTAGTGGTCTTTTCCTATCTCCTCATCTTCCATTGCACCAAGTCACTTGCTGACATACACAGTAGCTCTCCAAAGACACCAATATTAAATCATTTTCAGACAATATTTTACTTTACACCTCACATCACTCAAGAAACAAATGTGATTCATGCAATATTTTAATAGGACATCTGAAGTACATCACAACAGGTTATGACCCATTTGCTATTTTGAGTGATTGGTGTTTCCAATTGACCAAGATCTCTGCAAAATACACCACGTCTGACAGATGATCAAAACTAAACTGAAATATTTTAATTACTTGTCAGTTTCTCAGTGTAGTTATTAGTGATGTGATTTTTTAAAATACTTTGATATTAATTTCTTAAATGTGCAGACGTATTCCCAGACATGCACACACAACATGGATATACATGCATGTGAAAACATACCTACAAATGATTCCCCTTCAATGCATACCCTGATAATTGATATAGATTTTTATTTTCTATATATTTTTATAAGGGAACTCCTTTTGCAGCAACTGAAAATGAGAGTTGAATTTCTGGTGTGTCTATGAACTTCTGGCCACAAAGCAGAAAATGGAGGGAATAAAATTACAAAAGTTGTGGTTACTTTGCAACTCACCAGGAGTTTGTGGTTAGCTTGCCCACCAACTGCTGTGGTTACTCAACCTGATTCCTCAAGGAAGCGGAGGTGCATCATCATTTTAACCATGTCCAAGGACAAGTAATGTCAAGGAATTGGCTTTAACACTGAGCTTTCTTGATGCTTATAATGATAAATTCTACATGACAAATCCCATTGCTACCATCTCTGGCAGGAGATGGGTAAGGGAGAAGCAGAGGAGGCATGGAGGACCTTTGGTTGTCCAAAGCTCATAGCACTGAGGCAGGGCTTATTGAGACTTGAGTTTGTGGCTCTCAGGGTGGAAAACCTTTCCAATTCCCTGTTCTTCTGAGCAGGAGACAGTTTCATACATCAGGAGGGCCATGGCAGTGTTTTGCCCTTCACAATCCCAGCACTTTTCTCCAGTGCCTTTTGCTGGTAAACCTGACTTACACCAGTCAATGTAGCACCAATTATGTGTTCCTTCACCCAGGGTATCTGAGCAGGACAGTTAATGGGATCCAGCCCAGCTAAGTTGGTCAGCACCTCACAATTACTTAGCTCTGAAGCTTAGGTAAGTAATCCTTTCTACCCAAAATACCATCAACAAGTCTTCACTCACAGAACTATAGAATCATAGAGTCATAGAATGGAAGGGACCTCAAGGATCATCTGGTCCAACCTTTCTAGGTACTACTATAGTTTATATGAGATGGCTCAGCAGCCTGTCAAGCTGAGACTTAAGACTGTCCAATGTGGGGGAATCTACCACTTCCCTTGGGAGACTATTCCAACCTTTTGACTGTCCTCATGGTGAAAAGTTTACCTCTTGTGTCCAACTGGAATCTCCCCAGTAGCCACTGGTGCCCATTACTCCTTGTCTTTTCTATACAACTCATTGTAAATAGGGAGGCTCCATCTTCTTGGCAGCCACCCTTTAAGGTCTGGAACACTATAATAAGGTCTCCCTGAACCCTTCTTTTCTCAAGGCTGACCAAACCCTGTTTTCTCAGCCTCTCTCTGAATGCAAGGCTCCAGGTGTGGTCTGACAAGTGCCAAGTAGAGCAGGATGATGACTTCTTTACCTCTGCTTCTGATGCCCTTGTTGATGCAGCCCAGCATCCTGCTGGCTTTCTTTGCTGCTGCAGCACTCTGCTCACTCATGTTGGTCCTGATCAGGAG